AATACGAGTAAATGGACTGGCATTAAGAACAAAAGATGAAGAGAGCAAAAAGAAAACAGAAAAGTGATTCGTTCACCTACTGTTTAACATGTTTTTTTGGGAAGTGGAAAATTTATACAGAATAGGAGATGTTCCTCCTAAGCACTGGTATCTATGTACAAGTCCACACAATGTTACAACTCAGAAAACCAATGCCGACATCTTTACTACCATGCAAACCTCAAATTTCAATATGAATTTCTTGTTGAGATCATGAGTCTGGGTCCCATCTGCTGGAAATGCGTTCATAAGCATCAATACTATTTCAAAATCTTTGTGTCCATCAAAGAAAACAAAGAAAATTTTCATGTCTACAGAATTGTGGGAAAAGGAAGATGTAATTTTACTGGATGGGAAAAGACAATGATTTTGTGCAGAAAGAAACAGCACATACCTTGGTATTCATCTTCCAAGCCGTGGACAAAAGCACCACAGGATCCACTGCTCATAAGACTCACTGATTCAGCATCCACCAGTTCCCTGGGAGCATCATCAGCCCATTTTTTCCCACTTGCCCATTCACCTGAAGTAACTGACTCCCAAGCTCTCTCATGAGCTGAGCACTTCTTCTGCAAAGATTAAAGATTATAAGGCATATAACAAATCACACGGTCTTATCCTAGAATATTTAACACTGTACTGATTAAGAGATTTGAAGTTCTCATGCCGTTGAAGTCAATTGTGAAGATGGCTGTCAGGCTGGCAGAAGTTCACCAATGTTTCAGGTCCCTGCTGCCTCCATCATCATTGTGGATAATACAACCCAGAAGACAGCCGTCTTTGCACTCACTACCATGTAAACCTCTAATCCTGCTAAGTCAATTGTGGTCTTCTGGGTTGAGATGCCATGTAGTCTTGTAGGTAGTTACCAAAATTTTAAAGGATTTATGTATGATTTGAGGTTTTCACAGCGGTGAGTATGAAGATTTCTGTCTTCGGGGTTGGTGCGCCGTGTAGTCTGGTCGATGTTAACCGTCGTTTCAGAGGTCCTACTGCCTCCGTCATCAGGGCGATCGCCCTGATGACGGAGGCAGTATGACCTCTGAAATGTTAGTAAACATCTATCAGACTACACAGCGTAACAACCCCGAAGACAGAAATCTTCATTTCAAAGGATTGTATAACCTCCATCTTCAAGGAAGAAGTGACCTCAACACCCGAAACTCTAAACCACTTGCTTGAACTGAAGATCTTGGAGGTGAGTTTGCTTTTACAAAACCATGTGACACAAACACATGTCCGAAGTGGTATCACCATTTCTGCTACTACAATTACAGAAAACTTAGTGGGTTACTCATGCATGAAATATGCACACACTACAAACTTTGAATATCACTCTTTATGTTCTAAAATTAATACCAGTGCAGACAGCGCTGATTTCTTTCAATACTATTTATAATCAACCAGTATAATGACAAGTATTTTACTGGAAAATTATACAAATTCCATTAGAAATTGGAATCATATAAATAAAGTACAATGTCTGGTATACGACGTACCCTCATATTTGACATCAGTTTCTTATCCAGTGTCTGCTGAAGAAACTTTGGACTGACAAGACTCATTGTTCCCAGAAATTGTGCTGCCAGAGTACGTACTCGCATAGAGAGGTCATTGATCATCAGACAAACTTTGCCAAAGGCATCATCTACCAAACGAATCTCTTCCTCACTCTCAGCTACCGTAATCATGCTGAACATGAAAAGAAAAGTGTTCCATTTTATTTTTAACATTAAACAAACACATGTCACAATTACTAACTATAGCAACTGTAGTTAAACACATCAGAATAAATTACATGAGAGAACTTTATAAATAAATCAAATTTGATGCCAGACCAGAATAAGTTTTATAAAACCCAAGTTTTAAGCATCACTTAATCTGAGGAAATAGAAGAATGACAGTGGAAATGAAAACAGACTAGAAGATAATCGAGAATAAGTGACAATGTAAGTACATTATGAAAGATACTGATTAGAAAAAGTGGAAGGCAATGATGAATAAGATATTATGGGAACAGAATCTACTGATTAACAATACAATAAATAACTGATTAATTATATGATACAAGATCCTTCTAGGGTGGGTGATAATCATATGAAATTCAGAGAATCTCGCATGACAGACATTTCTCATTGGCTGGATGGGCAAGGGGTAAGCTACTTACAGATGAAATCATGACTGTGAGCTTGCTTACTCCCTGTTCACATGAAAAAGCCAAGCATTAAGGTTATGTCCGATTCTGAAGTGATACTTACTTTTCTGGATATGTCTGGCCTAGCACCCAAACCAGCTTTAGTGCCACTTCACGGACAACTTCATAGTCATCTTTTAGTGCAAGGCAAACTTCAGAGTACACAGATGAATCAAGTTTTGAACCTCGTTCATGGACAGTAAGCTATAACAAAATCCACAGTTTTTTAAGTGGATATAACAATTACCAATAAAACCCTTAAACAAATGTTCAAGCAGTACAGTGTAAGACTTCTGAAGAAAGAAAAGTAGAGAAATATATCCTCGTACCACTTGCAGGATCATAGACCGTGTGTCCTTATTTCAATAATTTATATATGCTTATGATTATGACAAATAACAATGAATGAAGATCCATGCTAAAACTTGAGAATGCGTTTGTTGCAGCTTGAGAAATGCAGGTTCAGCTGAGTTTATTAAGGTGCTGTTATGACATGAGCTTTACAAATGCAGAAAATATTAGTCTAAATTAAAAACATATACCTCCTCAGTAGTATTATATTATTTTTGTAAAATCTGAGGTTTTCACAGCGGTGAGTATGAAGATTTCTGTCTTCTGGGTTGTTGCGCTGTGTAGTCTGGTCGATGTTAAACAACGTTTCAGAGGTCATACTGCCTCCGTCATCAGGGCGATGAGGCGATCTCTAAGGATGCAGGTTTTGAAGAAATTTGTGACAAAACTCATGGTGAAAGACACTGGACTTATTCTAATTATGTGGACTCTTGTATAAATTACAGGCTTCAACCTGATTTATAAATAAAATAAAACATCAATTCACCATTGTCCTGAAGGCAGCACTTCTCACTCGTGCCTCCTCGCTGCGAGTGTAGTCGCCAACATGCCTCATCATAGCTTGAGCACTGCTTTCAGAATTCCCACCCACTGGCAGAAGGCCACCAATCATTTCCAAACATTTACACTTCACATAGTGACTTGTGTCTGTAAGGTACTGTAACAAAATGACATGAATTTAATTTAAAACCGAATCACAATGAAAAACTAAGCACAAGCTTGAACCTACTTTCTTACATTACATGAAATAAAGAATAAAATAATTTTTCCAGTATTTTATTTTTACCTGCTTTGCAACAAGAACCAACTTCTGGTGTACTGATACATTATCTGGTAACAATTTTCCAAGCTTCAACAATGCTGATACACCCTGAGCAATCACTTTATGAGATTCTTCTTTCTTCAGTAATTGTATTGTTTCTTCAATTATACTCTAAATAAAAAATATATAATCACATTAATATAAACAATACATTATTTATGAAATAAATTTATTAAACAATTACTCCAAGAATCAATTTAAAAATTTTACGATTAGGGATCTGTGAAAGAAACCTTTTTCAAAACCATGTGTTACTCAAAATACATTTATTAATCATCCACCTTGTTCTTGTAATCCCAGTAACAGTGAGTGAAGACAATAAATTATGAGGCTCCACATTACATAGATTTCTCCATTCTTCTGTTATTGGCACTTCACCTGTACTAATATATTCTCCTCAGCATTCTGATCTTAAAATATTTTCAAATTGTTCTTTCCTCAGAACAGACCAAGTTGCACATCCCCACAAAACAAAGTACTTTGTACATTTTAATCTTCAAGCTTCTAAAATGGAGATGGGAAGAAAATAGATTCTGAACTGGATACTGGAAAATCTCTTAACTATATACTATGTCGAAGGAAAAAATCAAGAGTTCTTACAAACAAGTTCCATCTGTAATCTTTATTAGTACCTGCACATCAGCTCCCGGCTCTTTTCCAATATCTCCCAATAATGACAATATTTTTGCACGCACAACAGACTCA